ATGTGCCATGTGCCATGTGCCATGATCCCTGCATGTGCCATGTGCCATGATCCCTGCATGTGCCATGTGCCATGATCCCTGCATGTGCCGTGGTGGGCCTGGGCTGCTGCCAAGGCAGGCTCTCAGTGTAGGATTTGAAGATTTAAATCTCTCGTTCACTCTTCCCCTTCACTGTCAGGGGATTAAATGCAAAACTACTCCAGTTTGGAAAAGCACTCCTGGCTGCTCTCTTGGGCATGACTCYTCCCCGGGCTTGCAGAAATATGTTTTAGCAAAAATGCCAGGCAATTTTAGCAGAAGGCAGTCGAGTGCAGAGTGCTTCCTGAGCATGCTGGCACCTCCGGCAGAGCCCATCCTGCTCCTGTCACCCCTCAGGCTCTTGCCCRGCAGCCCACTGTGATGAAGCACAGCAGCATCCCAGCTAGGCAGGTCCTCAAGTGTCAGGGCTGAGAGATAATTCAAAATCAAAATGAACAGGAGGAWAAAAGATGCAGGGATGGGCTCTGTCATTCCCTGCAGTGTGTTTCCTGGCTGAGCCATGCAGTCAGTGTTGCAGTCAGCGTTTGCTTGCCTGGAGCAGTCACTTCCCAGCCTGTGGGCTTATGGTTTGCCACCAGTGGAAGGCTTTTTAAAGAGGTCTCTGGGAGCAGCCTTCCATTTCTCCAGTGCTACAGGCAGAGCTTCCAAGCTTCAGGAACTCCAAGCCACTTGTGCCTTTGGAAAGCCTCAGTGAGACTGGCATGGGTACCCAGCACGGTGCAGCTGTCCCATTGGAATAGCTTTGGAGAGCCCCCCGTGCAGTGGGAGAGCAAAAGGTGGGTATTGGCACCTTCCCTGCTGCATCCTTCTCAGCACTGTGTCAGTCTGAGAGCCTGTGAGGGTGTGCTTTAACATCCTGATAAGCACAACCAATTGCCTTTCCCCCCCTTTTCCCTCTTGCTGAAGAGAGGGTGAAGTGGGACGTGGGTGACATGAATCAACAAGCAAGCTCTGAGTGCTCTCAGGAAGCATCAGCACTCAGCATCACAGGCACAGCAGCATCCAAAGTGCCTTCAGCATCTTCCTGGAGTCCTGYCCTCCAACTGGCCAGGGAAAGCCTTTCCCCCAGCACTCTCTCCACCCCATGAGTTATCACCCCATTTGCTGTGCCCTGGGATGGATGACGGTCATGGAAGCTCTGCTAAAGCCTGAATCATGGGGATTTATTACCAGGAGGTAAACTTAGCTTGTAAGCTTGGATGAGAACAAAATAACCCATCCTGGATCCCATGAAAAGCCATACCCAGGCATGGCTATGTAAGAGTAAAAGAGACTAAATGTAACATAATTAAATCAAAAATATATTCTGTGAAAAACAGAAGGTAACAAGCATTAGTTAGAATGTGCAGCATCAGTCAGAGTCTTGTTTTTCTCATGAAAGTGAGAAAATTCATTAAAAGAGAGGTTTTCACCCCATGTAAGCCAAATTCTCAGCGAGAATCGAGAGACAGGTGGGCTCTCTGTGTGGTGGCCAAAGCTGTGGACATTGCTGTGCTGGACCAGCAGCTTTTGCCTTGCCTCTGGCTGCATCTGCTCGACCTTAACATCGCACAGGGTAGTGGGGTTGTTTTTAATTTCTTTAGCTGTAACATGAGTTTGCTGGCTGAACACATGTGGGAACATCTGTAAGCAGTTATACATATGAATAAAAATTCCTCGTGATTTAACCAAGATTTATGTATGGATAAATGACAGAAGCAAAAGCCAAGATCTTGSTGAAACTGATCATTAATCTTCTCTAATTAGTCTGTTTTTCCRTGGGCTTGCCCATGTAACCAGCACRGGCTCTGAGCTGTGGTCATGGCTGTTCAGAGGAATCCTGTGGATTGTTTGCGTCAGCCTTCACCACGTTGTGTAGGGTTTGGTTTGCTCCAGCTATCCATATGTCCTGTTTCCTATGATAAACTTACTTTTATKGTTATAACTATAGTTTTAAATATTAATGTGGGGCCAGGCTTGACAAGCAGGATTTCATCTGAGCAGGGATGCTGTTTCACCACATTGTGCTGCACGTCACAACGGATACTGTTGGGGTGTGGTCACAAAAAAAGGACATGGTCCAAGCTGGCTGCAGGATGGCTTGCTTTAGGATGGCATCAGCAGCAGCTAAGCAAGGGAAAAAGCAGTGGAGAAACAAGGGCTCCTTGACAGAGGGAACCACTGCACAAGATTCCTCTCGGGAATGTGCTCCGAGAGCAGCATTTGGGARCACGGGCACGTCCCTTCATGGAGTTCCACTGGGAGGGAACTGCTTCATTCCACAGTGACCCAAGTGGCATGGTCCATGTTTAACAGCTCTCTGGCTGTGCTCAGCCCTTCARCTGGCAGAAAATGGGGCTGCTTGGGTGGGTTTTGGGATTGCAAGGCAGGGGCTGAATCGGCTCCAACCTGCCGAGCACACACATACATGCAGAGACGCGCCGTGTCCCTGCTGCTGTTCAGCCTGATCTCAACCCCACAAAGCTGGTGAATCCCGGGCAATCCCAGCAGCCTGCTCCAGTGCTTTGCTGGCCTCACCCTCCATAAACTAAATGCCCATTTGCTGCATTTAAGGGCCACTTTTTGAGCTGGACATGGGACACTAAACAGTCCTTTCTGCAGTCCCACATGAACCTCACAGTGCAGCCCCGGCACTCACTGAACCCACCCAGTGGCCAGAGGTGACACCAGTGGGGTGGCACTCGGGTGTGAGATGATGGCCTGCCCTTGTGCTTCCTYCCCCTTGAGGGTGGGWTGTCACRGGTGACACACAGAGACCCCACAAGATGCTCCACAAAACCCACCCAAGCATAGRGGAAGCCTGAAAGGCAAGACCTAGCAAGTAAATCCGAATCCATTGTTAAATCACTGGATATAAAAATAATCCGGCTTTTAGAAAGCAATTTATTTATGCTTTCAGTGCTTACTTAAATATTTATGAGAAAAAGGGGGRAAAAAAGTCTGCTCTGACATAGGGCTATTGTTGTAGCAACGGTCTTTGAGATTAATGGAAGTAAATTAGGCTGATGTTTTATTTACATCCAGAAAAGCAATAGATAAACTCTCCTTGTGATGGATTTTCTTCATTAGCTGGGCGAACGCCTAAGGTACAGCTCTTGACATTGTTTCTTCCATGYGGTTAGACAAACAGTTTATCAAAAGAGTATAAAATTGTCAGGAAAAGAAGCAGATTAATGGCCAGTAAAGTGAAGATCATTGAATTTATGATATAAGTAGCAGCATCASTGGAGCTTAAGAAATGGCTTATTAKMTAACCCACGTGCACACGCACAGAGGAGTGCTGAGCCCCCCCGGATCTGCCGCATTGTCGGTGGCTGCTTCCCAAATCCCAGTGGGGTSGTCTCCACACTGGAGCTTCACCTCCCTCCTCCTTCCCTCCCTTTGGGTTGGGGTTCATTCTGTAACTCTCTCATCAGAGCCTGTGAACATACTCCCAATTAAAACCTGTAAGACTTCAGAAATTATAACCTTGTCTTTGTGTCTATAACCATTTCCACAACCTGTTTTGGAAATTTTGGCTGCTTTTATACCAGTGATAATCACGCCAATGTCAACAACAATAATGTACAGGYCTTATGATTCTTTGTAAAAAATCCCCCATCATTAGCAGCTGATGGATCCCATATGGCTCCTGCAGCAATTACCTCTGGAAGGATAATYACCTGTCAGATAAGGCAAATGGAAAAAGAGACATGGAASCTGGGAGAAAGGAARCATTCCWGGGGATGGCAAAGGGACTGTGCTTKTGGGTTCCTGAGGTCTCTGCCCTGCCAGGAATGGGCTCGGGCTTTCAAGCTTCAGAAGAGGGGTTTTGGGTGCAAGGACKACCAAGAAACATGAGTTTAACTGATGCCATGAATCTTGGTCTCCGAGTGCTGTCTCCAGCAGGTGGCATTGTCTCGACAGGCTGTCTTTTCCCAGAGGTTGCCAAGAGCCTCTTAAAAGTTTCATCTCCGGACTGGCAGATTTCAAGCTGCTAAAGCATCATTAATTCCCTAATTCCTTTGCAGCCTAATCCGCCCAGCTGTACTTTGTATCTCTTCTCCACCACCACCTTTTCCCCCCCCCCATTACTCTCTTTCCAACAAAAATCTAGATTTATGGAAGCAGAGCTTTGCATTGTGCTGGGAGCAAGACTGAGCAAGCAGCTGCTTGTAGAATGAAATTCCACATCACCCAGGGCTCTCCCCACTTGGTGTGGACCCACGTATGGACCAAGGTGCACAGCACCCACAGGATTTTTGGACTGAGAATCTCAAATTGTGGTCAAGTCCAAGAGTTTTTCCCTAGAGCAATTTTGGATAGCTGCTGTTTTGGTAGGATTRTCTCTGTTCCAGGGAACTCATAAAGTTCAGGACATTTTGAATGGGTGCTGCAGTTGCCCCCGGGATGGATTTTAAAATGATGCATCTCTTCGAGCTGTGTGCAGCCAACC